AGGAGGAGGAGGAGGAGGAGGAGGAGGAGGAGGAGGAGGAGGAGGAGGAAGGGGAGGAGGAGGAGGGAAGGGAGGAGGGAAGGGAGGAGGGAAGGAGCAGAGCACAGGCTCCAAAGCTCCTCAGCTCATTACAGGTTGGGGTAACCCTCTCTTGGAAGCTGCAATGGCTGGAGAAGGAGTGGAGCTCAGGCTCCAAACCTCCTTGGCTCATCAGGGCTGGGGCAACCTTCCCTTGGTAAATGCAATGTCTCTGCTGAGAAGGCCTCCTCTCAGAAATGTGTGGTTTCTGGGTTCTCATGCTTTAGGATACCATTGGGACACTGTCCCACCCCAGAGCTGTGAGGTTCTTGGGCTCCCATTGCTCAGGATACCCTTGGGACAGTGTGATACCTCAGAGCCAGGATAACATTCCAACCCTCAGAGTTAAGAGTTTTCTGGATACTTTCTCACCTGATAAGGAAGGCAGGCCAGCAAAAACAACAACAACAACAAAACACTTGAAAGCTGCACTCTCTGAACTTTGCCATATGTAAGCCTTGCTGTTGATGATGCCACAACTCCTGCTTCCTGTTTCAATGTGAGAACAATGTGGCCCAGAGGTCTCATATGTACACCAAGAAAGACCTGGGAGAGAGGCCTCTGACTATCCCTGGTCAGTTATAACCATGAGCCAGTCACTTATAGAGAGAAGCAACCTCAGTAGGAACCAGTGGCATACACCAGGCACCCTTGGTCCATGCAACACAAAGACTCTGTGGCTTGAGAATTGCTATTATCATTCTCACTCCAGTGTGGAAACAGACTGCAGGAGTTTCAGTGACTTGGTAGGGTTACATGACTTTCCTGTAGAGCAAATAGTTTAATGTGTCGCAGCTACTGTCACTGCTATCAGCATGCTGGCCTTCTCTCTCCTTCTACCTGCAGAATGAAGCTGGAAGGAGGCCTGTCCTCCTAACTAGCTCTCTCTGGTTTACTCTGTGCTTGGCATATCCATCCACAGCATCTGGGAGAGGCTCAGCCTGCTGTGATCCCATAGGATGGATAAAGTAGTCTAGCATTTCCCTAGCATTTGGTGACATATGTCTTAAGTAATTCTGGACCTATGGGTATTGAACCATTGTGGGTTTCATACTTTTAGTGTGTTTAGAGTTCCTGTTTTATGCCATTTGTGGGACTCAGTTCTCTGAAGTGATCTCTCATGTAATATTCCAAAAAAATATTTCCTTATCATCTTTCCAGCACCCCTACGTGCGACCTTTCTCTTGCCTTTCTCAGGCCTCCCCATCACTTCCAGTGTCTGACTGTCATCTGAAGAATACAGCTCTGTTTTCCATGTCTCCAGTATCCCAGATGGCTAGTAAACTACCCATAGTTTCTGGAATCCATTCACAGCTGGGTGATACCTGAGTGGCATTAGTGCGTGTAGCGCCTTCCCCTGGCACATCTCTTTTCTTGTTTGGATTTAGTTAGCCTTTAAGTTAATGATTAAGGCTTGTGTGATAATGCCTATACTCTTTCCAGGCAGGATTAGAACTGCACAGAATCAGATCTTCCTTCTCTTTCACACTTCAGTCTTAGTTAATGGCCTTGACTCTGACTGAGTTTCTTCCAGAGCCAACATCCCTGCTTCTGTCATGGAAACAAACCCAAACTAAACTCAACCAATCCTGGTTAGCAGTCCTGCCCTGGTCTGCTAACTTGTGGAATGAAACATTTCTGGTTCTGCCTTGGGGAGTTCAGTTGCCCTTAAAGAAACCTAGAAGATAGCTTAAAAAACATTCTAATTAATAATACCTAAAAAGATCAAAGGAATCAGTTTCTTCCATATACAGTTTATTGTCAGCGGTGCAATTAAATTCTGTTTTGTGCTGTGGTCTGAGTACTTCACAGCTCGGAAAGGCTTCTCCTGAGATCTTGGCAGGGACGAGCCATCGCTTCATAATGAGGTGAACACAAGAACTCTGCCTCTGGTGGGAAAGGCAGAGATCTGAGAATGGGCACAGGCCCTGCTTAACATCCCCAAAAGAGCAGCAGAATGTGCCTTTGCTATGTGGCTGAGGGAGATCTGGAAGGCCCCTGACTGTGAAAGAGCCAGCGTGACTTCTGCTACTGTGGTCCCTGTTCCCCGAGCTACTGAATTCACGTTCTCATGGCAGGACAGCACTACTGAAGCGATCCAAGCGACCACTTTTCCTGTGTAGCATTTGTTTCTGAGTCTACCTACAGAATTCTGATTCTTCTTCAGCCTATATATCCTCATTTACATTCTGTGCATAAGGGGCCTATGGTAAGTGGCTAGAGTTAAAGAAGAGATAGGCTGACATAGATCTTCCTAGAGGTAGAGGCTCTGGCATTCTGTTCCTCCGCTGGCCCCATATATCTTTAGGTTTGGGTGAGCCTCATCTTGGTGTGGTCCATGTACCATCTACACAGAGCCAGAGTTTAAGAACAAGGCACTCCTTATCCTGCTGTGTTTGGAGACCCAGATCTACCTCTTGATGGCTATGTGATCTTGCACAAGTTTTACAGCCTCTCTGTACTTCAGTTTTTTTTCTCATACACAAAGTAGAAATGTTTGTACTGCTTATCCGGAGGGGGGTTATTGAGTGTTGAAACCTTATATATGTGACATACTTTGATAGTAGCTGCCAGAGTCCAGTATGTAAGTAAGCAGAACAGGCATATTGAATGCTATACAATAACCATTTGCTTTAAAAAAAAATGAATCACAGCAAGTGGCTCATAAGAAACAAGGTTTACCTCTCACTTCTGCCCAGTGGCCTATCTCTGGGGCCATGTGGATTGTTTAGTTACTTTAAAGGACTTCCTGTTAGCAGGATCTATGCTAATCACTCAGAGCATTTAAAAGAAGAATGCTCTCCAGATATCCGGGAACTTCTCTAAGCCCACGTCCAGATGGCATAAAACTCCATTCTCCAAGCTGACCACCGAATGCTTGGCTTCCTGCTTGCAGGGGAGGGAGGTGCCTTGTTAAGTCTGTCTACTGATGCCACCAGAAATTAGTCTATGTTCCTGAGAAGCAGGTAAAACAGGTCCCCATCTGTCTTCCATCTCCATTCCACCAGCTTTCCTTTACCAAGCCACCTGAACAATTTGAGAAGAAATGTCCTATACTACCCGAACGACTAACTCCATGCCCTCTGTACGAATGAAGCCATTAGCCAAGTGGTAAAAGCAAGCCATGGTGACAGAAGCCAGACAATTTGTCATCCTGGTGAGTGGGGAGGGCTGTGAACAGGAAAAAGCAGGGAGGAACTTTCTGGAGAACTGGGAATCCTCTATGTTTTCATCTGGCGGGTGCTTATAATGGCATATGCATATTCAGCCATTGCGCTCCAGTTGTACAGTTCAGCTTGCACATCCTACCGTTTACAGTCACACCTCAGCGAGTGACATCACTGTCCAAGATGCAGATGGGACAATGGAGGTAGTTTGCAGGCCTGACCCACTTTATTCTGAAGACACAGAGAGTTCTGAGTCTCTGTCTCTATTACACACATTTATCTTCCTCCACAAGTGTGTTTATACCACAGGTTATATTTATATCTGCAGTCACATCTATATATTTAAATAAGGAGAGAAGAGGAGTGTTACATGTACTTGACTATATATAGAATGGCTTGCTTTCAAAGAACAGGAGGATCCTAGCTCCATTATGTTTTTTGGAACCTCTCTCTCCCCCTCCTACTCCCCACCCCCATATGTATACACATACACAGTCTGCCCATCTGACTATCCGACTATGTACTTTGACCTTCTTTCTTGGATGCTCACTGACCTTGATGATGACCTTGGGGACAGTCAGCACTATGGACTTCTGCTTGGCCAAGACATCCCTGCTCTCGTTGATGCGTGCTGTGATGAAGAAGTGCAGGAGGCCCTGCTCCAGAAGGTGGCTCATATACTCGCCCGCTCTGACCAGTACCTCCGTTTTGTTGGCTGGAGGGAGGAAAAAAACAACAGTCTTTCATCAAGACCTGAATGAGATGTGATCTGGTTTACTTGCTCTCTCCCATCCTCCTCACTTTAGCACACAAGTCACCAGGAACACAGCAAAAGTCAGATACAAAGAGTTAATTAGGGACAAGCTCCCCTGCCTCTTGGGTGAAGAAAGAATACACCAGAAATGTAATATTCAGTGATGTTTTACTAGAGAAAAGAGTTGCCAAACTTTTCAAGCATTGCTTTTAATGCTGTAAAATGGAAGACCTTATCAGAACTATTAAAAATAGGGCCTTTAGGAGTGTCAACTATGGCTGCTTTCACTTGAGTCAAGGCAATCCCAAGTTGGCAGAAAAGGAGCATGGGAGTCTAAGGCCACCAAAGACCTTTCTTTGGATTGGGAAGACCTCTGTGCTGAAACACTACTGCTAGGTTTCAGGGTTGAGGATAAGTTCCTCAGGATGGCATGGAAATGGGGCATGGCCTCACATCGCTTCCAATCTCCAAGGAAGCCGAGGATGCACAGTTATATCTGTGGCTATGTGGTTCTGTGGCTTCATTTTCCACAGCCCAGAATTCTAGAGCCCATAAGGACAGTTTTATAGGCCAAGCCTGGGTATGTATGTCTTTAGAGACAGTGTATTTTTCCCTCTGGTGTTTCCAAGAATAGTAACAAACAGTGCTCTTCTTCTGGCTTTTCTTGGGGGAAAGAGTTTGGCTACTAGGTTTCCTTAGAGTAGCAGGATTTGTGCACCTTCATTGTGCCCATGTTTGCAGAGGCTCCTATCACCACTTATAACCTTAGCCTCTGGACTCACTTCTTCTTGGCAGTAGCCCCTTGTCTCAATCAGCACTGAAGAAACGGGGCTGTGCATCAGAGCCCTAGAGAACAGTACTCCTGAAATAGTCTGTTATATAAGTACTGTGTTTTGCCACCGCACAAGAAATTGTTCTAGATAAAGTTTATTAAACGCGGCAAGAGAAGGAAGAATAGATTTTCACTGTATGAGTGGTGGAGATAGGAGGCTGCCAGCATCATTTACGGTGTCTGGGGAAAGCCAAGGGAGACACAGGCTGGAGCTGCCTCATCTCTCCCGAAAAGCAAAGGAAACTAAATATAGCCAAGTGACAATGATAGCACCTTTGAAGGTACTGGGTGGTTTAAGTTATTCAAATCTCCCAAACTGACTGTAGCCCACACATTCCCTTTAATCACCAATCTGAAAAGTCTGCCTCTCACTCTACTTAGAAAACTTTATTTGCAATATAGTCACCTAAGAATGCTTGATTAAGGTCAGAGGTATGTGATTTTGCAAGAGGCTAAGATTTACTTCAGATTGCAACACAAATTTTATTGCATGCAATTGATGGCACATACATGCATTAATTAGTAAATTAGTGAAAGAAGAATGACGTTCTAATTCCCATGAAGTTATCTGGGACAAGCCCTGGGTGGTTTGAGCGGTAGAGCTGTATTAAAATTGACTTGGGCTTAGGTTTAGTCCCAACATGAATGACTCAGTAGAGTAATCCATTCTAGTTCATTAACCCATGTAAACTCATCTCTGGAAAAGGTTTATTTTGTCCTCTGGATTAAGGGCATACAATCTATCATAGTGGAGAAGAGCTAGGAGCAGGAGCGGGAGGCTGCGGGAGCTGGCCATGCTGCTTTTGCATCTAGGGAATGGCTTAAGCCCATCCTTTAATTGGGTTAAGGAGGGAAGGAGAAAGACTGACAGGGTGTGTGTGAAGTTGGAAAAGGGATGTGCTCTATTTCTGATGTAGAGAGATGTGATGGAGCATAGACATTTCCACTTAGGGCTCAAGCATACAGCCATTGGCTCAATATCCCCGCTCAAGCGGGATCTAGGCTCTGCTACCTTCATGGCTTTGACTATATCAAGCCAGCCGGAGCTTCCCACGATGTCGGAAAGTAACAGGAATGTCAAGGCTTTTCACACTTGTCACCCATGGAATTTTCTCCACTCTTTCCTCTTACATGCACATGCCAGTCAAGTGGACGCTACCCTCAGAACAGGCTTAGACCCGACTTGTTCTCATCACTGTCAACACCACCACCGGATTTCAGCTGAATGATTGTTATAGCCTCCAACTGGTTGCCAAGCTCCATCTCTGCCTTTATGCGCCTCTTAGCACAGCAGCCAGTGTGATCTTTCTTGTATTTTAATTGAGAAAATTATCACCATGTGTAGGCACAAGCATATGAGTGGAGCTCAGAAGACAAGCAATAGGAGTTGGTTCTCTTCTTCCAGCACGTTGGGGATGGGACTTGGGGTTGCCATGCTAGGTGGCAAGTGCGCTCAGTTACTGAGCCATCTCCCCAGCCCCAGTATGAGCTTTCAAAATCCAAGTTAAGCTACGCTCAAAGCCTTAGAAGGAACTATCCCACTAGAAGTAAAGTCAAAGTTTGGACAAGGGCTGACATCCATTGTGTGGCTGAAACCCATCACTTTCCTTTGGTTGCTTTTGTTCTTATTTCAGTCTGTTTTTGTTTGTTGTGCCAAATTACAGGGGCTCGTAATTTTATAAAGAAAATAGGTTTAGTTGTCTTATAATGTTAGTGGCTGGAGCATCTAAACAGCATGGTGATGGCATAGCAGGAAGTGAACTGGCCATGTGCGTAAGGGGCCATGCTCACAAAACAGCCCTGCTTTATAATAAGCTGTTCTCCCGGGAACTGACTCATTCCACAGGCCAGAACCAATCCTTTCCAAGGTCAATTAAGCCCACATATCCTAATTATCTTTCACAAGGCTCTGCCTCTCAAAGGCTCTACCTTCTCCTACCATCAGTCTTTACACTGAGGACCATGCCATATCAGACAAAAATAGTTCTTCACCGTTCTTTGTGTCTCATTGAGAACATTAGATATCTTATGACACCATTGGGATTCTCTGGCTGGAATACTCTCTGTCAGGTCTCTGTTTAACACCACCATACTAGAGAGAATTTTCTAATTTTGTGGTTGTAATCCCACAGGGCTAGCATGCCTCTCCCTCTTAATCTGCTTTGCATCTTTTTATTATACATACAACCAGATGATGCATTTGCTAACTTGCTTGCTTGTTGATTGCCTGGTTCCTCTACAAAAGCAGAAACTCTGCAAAGATGGGCACGCCCCTTCATCCAGCAAACGTTAGAACCTGGATCCTCCAGTTTGCTTTCTGTTGCTGTGTCGAAACACCACAGCCAGAAATAACTTCAGGAGGAAAGGGATAGTTGGTTACAGTTGAGGGAAGCCAAGACAGGAGCTCAGGGTAGGACCCTGGAGGCAGTAACCATGGAGGAGTGCTGCTTACTGGCTTCTTTCCTCTGCTTGTGAGTCAGCTTCCTTAGGCAATCAGGACTATCAACCCAGGGGTGCCCCCCCATCAATTAGCACCCAAGAAAATGCCCCACAGACACGCTCACAGGCCAAACTGATGTAAACAATCCACCCAGGGAGGTTCCCTCTTCTCAGCTCTGTCAACATGACAACCAAGATTAGCCTTGCAGGAAAAGATCAAATAACCCTGTTGTGTACAGCTTCCATATACAAATGAGGAGAGAGCCCATCTTGCTCACATAACCTGCCCAGGAACACACATCCAGAGGGGATATGGTCTCACCTTATATTTAGAGTTGTCTGATTCCCAGGCTCATTATGCCTGTCCCCAGTAAGCACGAGAGCCATCTCTTTAGTCCTTCATACTGCCTTTGTGTGTGTGTGTGTGTGTGTGTGTGTGTGTGTGTGAAGCCTTTCTTCTCTCTTCGGTTAGGGGGAAGAGAGAAAGCTGAATCTTCTAGCTTCCAAAGAAAATGCCACAGTGATGCCTCGACCACTAGCTACATCAGAGAAACTGGAAATACTCGCCTCCTTCAATTTGGTTTTCTTGGAATCGGAATTTTCAGGAATAGTTTTTCTTTTTCTCTCAGGACACAACTCTGAGGTCCTGGGACTTAGCCACGGCAGAGCTTGAGAACAACAGAGATGTGTGATTGGCTCGTTGGTGGGGCGGGGCCTGTTTGCTCATCTCTGCTTTAGGAACAGTATTGCTTCTGTACCCCTTTTCTTCTCTTTTTCAGTACCACATATCTGATCCAGAGACAGTCCGTTTTCAGTTTTCTCTGACTCAGCTCTCTGCCTACAGTTCTCCTTGACTCCTTATGCCCATCTTAGGCCTATCGAGTCCACCTAATACTCCTTACCCCCAGGAAAAATGAGACCTTTCGAATTGCAGTCCCCAGTGCATGCTGCGGCATGTCAGTCCTGCCCTGCTTCAAATATCCTGAATTATTATAGTGCTAAAACAGGCCTGACAGATGCACGGAAAGCTGAGAGAATAAACAGGAAAGAGACACCAATGGGAATGGCTCTGAGCAGACTCTGGGATGGAGCCTTTAGGTCATCCTTGGAGGAAGGAGCTCCGGGTGGCTCCGGGAACAAAGCCATTGCTATGCAGCATGGGACCTGAGTCTAGGTCTCCAGCACCCGTGTTAGAACTGGGCAAGCATGGTAGATGCCTGTGCCTGCTGGGAGAGATGGTATCCTGGGTGCAAGCTGGGTTCCTAATCCAGGTAGAGTTAGTGGCTATTGGCTCCATGGGAGACTCTGCCTTAATATATAAGAAACAGGAATCATGGAAGATGCCTGAGGTTGATGTGGCCTGTGTGGCAGGTTTAGATCTCAAATGAAGATTCTGTTTCAGAATCTTGGATGTGGCCCAAGGCTTGAAATTGTTGGTGCTGTGGGTTCATAGAACCCACTCTAAATAGCAAGAGGTGAGTTTCCATTTAATTCTCCAACTCACAGAGTGCTAGGCTTAGAAGATTTCAGCATTCATTTCTGTTCATGAGACACAGAGATAAGAGGATTGGGTGTATTATAGAATTTTCCCACAATGTGGCCCCCAATATGGTGGGATCTGGTGAGAATCAAAACCCTGGCAGTGTGGACAGTAAGACAGAGAACAGGCAACAAGTCATGGAGAGATCGACATGGAGAGATGTTTGTTGGCTTACAGGTTGAGGGATCCAGTGTCACTTCAAAGGCTTCCTTCTTGAATTCTGTCTTGGAGACTCCAGTGTAAAAGGTGATGTTCCCAGAAAGATAGGCCGAGACATTGTAGAGGTTGGAGCTATTGTTCCGGAAGGTGATGGTAACCTTGAAGTCTTTCCCCAGCACAGCGTTTTCCACTTCAAAATCCATGTCCACATCAGACCTTGATTTAAAAACACCTTCGGTGTTGAGGGTTTTTTTGGCTCCATACATCAGGGCAGTTTCAAGGGCCAGTCTCTCTTCTTCTTGACCTAGAAGAGACCCACAGATAATAACAGTGAAAGGGAAATACTCTCCACTGAGTTAAAAAAAAAAAAAAAAGCCCTGTGCCACCCTTACTGATTAATGGCCTCTGAAAGCTTGTCAGCCTCTTGGAGGTAGGTATGATCACTACCCTCATGTTAGATTCTGCAAAACTAAGTTCCCAGATAGGCAGTGCTCCCTCCAAGGCTGCCAGGGTACTTGGTGTCTGGGCAGGGTATATCTGCTATGAAGACTACTAATGGGTTTCACCAGTGGGCCAATCTCTTGGTCCATTTTTCTGAGCTTGGCAGGTACCAATTTGCATGGCTGATTGAGTCCCAGCCGTGAGGTTAGAATTTAGGGTTCTCTAAGCAAAGAGTTAGGAAAACGTCGCCACTTGTCATGTCACCTACTGCTGTCAATGTTTTCCCAGCCTTCCCTGCACCTAAACAGGACGTGTCCCCCTTCAGTCCTCCTCCTATTTAGTTCCTTCCATTCTCTCTCTTTTGAGATGACTTTAGGGGTAGGAAGGGCCCTTGTATGCCCTTTTTATACATCCTAAAGCGCCCACCAGCACCCCAAAGCACAGTGCTTCAAGGCTCTTGACAGTTGTTAAGCTCTCCTGTCCAAGGACTTCTGGGTCAGACCCCTGGAGGAAGCCTGGCTTAACCTGCTGAAGGTCCACAGCTTTCCTGAGCTCACAAAGGTGCTGAGCCTGACAACTTTGTTACCCAAAATCTCTCAGTCGCCTCTCACTGAGCGCAGAGTTTTGAGGCACTGCTGTCTGAATGCTGCTTGGCCCTGATACAGTCTAAAACATAAGTACTATTTGAGCAAAAGTCTTACAAGTGAGTTTCTGGAGGGATAGTGGGGGAGAGGGGGAGGCAAGAGAAGGAAAGGGTCTGTTCCGGAGTAAAAAAGGAGAGAAAATGGAGAAGGAAAGAGAGGAAGAGGAGGGAGGCATGGTGGTGTGCATTTGTAACCTTTGCACTTGGGAGTCTGAGGCAGGAAGAGAGTTCAGGGACAGCCTGAGCTACCAAGTAAGATCCTGCCTCAAAAGCCAAAGGCTGGAGATACAGCTCAGAGGAAGAGCACTTGTCTAGCATGAACATGGTAATGCATTCCATACTCAGCTTTTCAAACACACACACACACACACACACACACACACACACACACAGTGAGAGTGGGCAAGGCAGAGACACAGAGAGAAAACACACCAATACAGAGTAAGAGAGGAGCAGAGACAGAGAAAGAGAGAGAGAGAGAGAGAGAGAGAGAGAGAGAGAGAGAGAAATAGCATGAGCAGGTAAGGAAGCAAGAAACAGAGACAGAAGTGTTGCCTCAGATGGGGGCTGTGCTCAGACCCTGACTCCCTGACAAGCTGTAGACTAACAGTACTTACAAAGTTTGGATAGAGTAGTTAGCTGCAGAGGTAGGCTGTTGGAAGTACAGAAGACACGTGGCCTTTTTTTTTTTTTTTTTTTAAATCCTAAACATCTCTGCATACAGGTTTTTTGTTGTTTTGTTTTTTTATGGTGGAGGACAGAGATGAGAAGATGAACGCAAATTCTTTGGCTTATGAAAACTAGGTATGAGAATGGCTGGTGGGGAAAAAAAAATCGCTTTAAGATAAGAATAGCAGGCGTTTCTAATAACGTTCATTTAAAGGTGTTATCTTCTACCATACCAAAAATTAAGTCAGAAAATAATAACTAATTTCAGTGATGGGGAGGAGGTCAACAGATGGTCTTTATTATCACATGCTAATCATGTGGCAGACTTGCTTGCAACAGCTCTGCTAAGTCTCCTAACAACCACAAGCTAGGCACCAGGATCCGCAGCAGTGACATAAGAGTACACGCATCGTAAAACCGTTACGTGGATCAGAGGGGGTTGGGGTGTAAGAAACGGAAACTAGTCTGGAAGGGCAGAACAAAACACCAAGGAATGCTGTATACAGTGTGTGTGTGTGTGTGTGTGTGTGTGTGTGTGTGTGTGTAAGTGCACAAGCGTGCAGTATAAATTCCTCTGTCAAGACTGCAAGAAAGTGCCAGAAACAATAGGTCTAGAAGCAGAATTGGCTCAGACACATGTTTATAGAACCACTAGAGGAAGACAGGTAGGGAAGGAAGGGGGGAGAGACCAGCCGTGAAAGTTCAGTAGACTACTTTAGCAGCAATCAACTGGCAAACAGATCCACGACTAGGAGGGCATTAACAACTATCAGTTTGGATGAGGACCAAGGATGCATTTAGACAAAGCACGGGAAGTCCATGGCTGCCTTGGGAGAGAGGAACTGAGCTGGCCCAGGCATGAGAAAGGGGCAAAGCGAGGCTTGCACACTGAGCATCCTGAGAGGCTGTTCTGATTGTGCAACCTCAATTCTACTTCTGTCCCGTGGACAGGGCAGTTGCAGGCTGGCAGAGGCCATTTCAGGCAGGAAGTGGGAAATGGGAAAGTTTGTCAGAGCCTAAGACACTTGTCCCTGCTTTCCAGCAGCCATTGTGTGCTCTTGTATCAGGCACCAGTAAGGAGTTATCTAGAGCCAGACTCTGCTCTCTGAGACATCTCTGTGTTCTGCAGGAGCGAGGTCAAAAACACCTTACTGAGAACGAGGGTGTTAACTGGCTCCTTCATGTTGGATAAAGCGCCTCTCACTGTTCTTTCTGGTCATGGTCTCAACACCCTCTCCTTAAGGTTCTCAATACTCTGTGAATATAGCCCCAGACCCCAGGTTTTCTTTCCTTTTCCTCAGCACAGTAATTGTCCTGTGCAGTGTCACCTCCTCAACTGGAACATAGACCCCAGGGGGGCAGTGATGCTCTCTGTCTTGTCCACCACTGTATCCCTAGGGGGTCCAGGCAGACACTGAGAGTCTGGGGGGGGGAGGCTTTCAGATACATGCTGTTTTCAGCATAAGGCAGAACTTTTGTCTCTATAACATCTTCTCTAGAGTGCACACTCAGCTTAGGTGGCCCATGAGAGCATGGCCCTGTGACCCTCCCTTTGCTTATCTCACAGCCCTGGGGTCCTGGGAACAGACATTGTGCTAGACACCGTTAAGAAAGAGTTCTTCACTCACGGGTCCAGAGGGGTAGGTGAAGAGCTATCACAGCGTAGATTTGTAGGTCAGAGATGCTGGGAAAGACATTTAATAAGGACCCTAGATACGCGAGACATAAAACACCCTTAGCTTGCACGGGAACCCTCTTTTTAGCATAGCGGGAAAAGACAGGGACGCATGCAAGAGCTTGGCTACTTGGAAAGAGTGACAGCTGCTCATTTGGCTGTTGCATGTGACAGCTGTGGATGATCATAGTACAGCCAGGAGGCCAAAAAGTCAGCTAGCTTGGCTTTGTGGATTATTCCTGGCGCGTTCTGGAGGCGCTGGGAAGACTCCCTTGATAGGCTCAGGCATACATGTCATGGAGCACTCACTGCTTCTGTGGAGAGAAAGGGTTACACTGAGGAGGGAGCAGTAAGCTACGGCTAATTTCCCAGGCAAAAATATAGCCAGAAATACTCTGAGCAGTAATGGTAGCAAAGGCGGCATTACTATTAGAAGGAGAAATTAACTCTTGCTGGATCCTCATCACATGTCAGGCTCTGTATCAAGTTTTTCTGCACAGAATGCCGTTTCATTCTCAGAGCATGATTATAGAATCAGAGAGAAGAGCTGTACTCGAGGGCTGTTACAGATGAGGCAAGTGAAGGATTTGCTACCTATTTCCCTGGTAGCTAAATTTGGATCCATAACGGATGTCCTCATTAGGATAGAAAGTGAGAGTGAATGGACAGGATGGGGAGGGGGAAAAGGAGGGAGTAGAATTTGGGAAGATTTGGCTTGAGGTTTCTGTGGCACACCCGTGTAAGACCTGGGTTGAGATGCAGATTTGGGGGGTGATCACTGCATCTGTGAGAGTTAACCACAGGTATCCAGGAAGAACATACATTTGGTAGGCCTGGGGCCCAGGAAGGGCAGCCAGAAGCAAGGGGCATTTGGAGTGGAGTGGAGAAAGGCAAGCCTAGATTGCAGGAGACAGTGAACACAATAGGTGATAGGTGAAGTGGAACCATGAGAGAGCTCTGCTATAGAAACAAGAGAATTGTGACAAGAAAGGGGTGAACACCATCAGGAAGCTAGGCGGGTAGGCAGGCTGGCGCCTGAAGACACTGATGACAATGCCGCTGTGAAGTTAAGAGCGGCTTCGGGAGTCAATGAAAATGAAGGCACAGCGTACCCAAACTTGTGGGACACAATGGAAGCAGTGCTAAGACGAAGGTTCATAGCACTAAGTGTCTTCATAAAGAAACTCAAAACATCTCATACAAGCAACTGAAGTCTTAGAAAAAACAAAGCAGACACACCCAAGAAGACTAGATAGCTGGAAATAATCAAACTCGGGGCTGAAGTCAATAAACTAAAAACAAAGATAACAGTTCAAAGGATCAATGAAACCAAGAGCTGGTTCTTTGAGAAAATCAACAAGATAGATAAACCCTTATCCAAACTAATTAAAAGGCAGAGAGACACTATCTAAATCAGTAAAATCAGAAATGAAAAGGGCCACAAAATGACAGACACTGAGGAAATTCAAACAATCATTAGGTCTTACTACAAAAGCCTATATATCACAAAATTTGTAAATCTAAATGAAATGGACAATTTTCTTGCTTGATTCCACTTACCAAAGCAGAATCAATTAAATAAATTAAGGTAATTCAATAAATTACCTTTAAGGTAATTTAATTGATTTAATAAATCAATTAAATAAATCAGGTAAATAAACTAAATAGTCCTATATCCCCTAAGGAAATAGAAGCTGTTATCAAAATTCTCCCATCCAAAAAAATAAAAACCTAGGGCCAGATGGTTTCAGCACAGAATTATACCAGACCTTCAAAGAAGAGCTAACACCAATACTCTTCAAACTATTCCACAATATAGAAACAGAGGGAATATTACCAAACTCATCTATGAAACTACAGTCACCTTGATACCTAA